CGCCAACGGCTCTGCCTCCTGGAGCTCTCGCTGGCACTCGCGCTCCGAAATCACAAACAAACAAACACAACCCGCGCCACCAAGGTGGGGCTGGGAGGCCGCCGGAGCAAAGGGAAGGGAACCCCCAGGTCCCAGCACCGGCGCCTCCCGCACACACGCGGCTTCTCTCTCTCCCCCTCTCCCGCTGTGAGGGGGCCTCGTCTTGCTTCTGGCCCTGGCAAAGAAACCGCTGCCCAGGCCAACTTGCTCCAGAGTGGCTGCCACTGTCCAGCCATCAAAGCCACATCCCAGCTTGCAGAAAGAAAGGGGCGGGGCCGGGAGGGGCGTGGTGCTCGCTGCCCAATGAGAGACGTGGGGCGGGGCTAGGAAGGGCGTGGTCTCGCTGCCCAATGAGAGGCATGGGCTGGGAAGGGCGTGGTACTTGCTGTCCAATGAGAGGCATGGGCTGGGAAGGGCGTGGTACTTGCTGTCCAATGAGAGACTAGGGGCGGGTCTAGAAAGGCATGGTGCTCGCTGCCCAATGAGAGGCATGGGCTGGGAAGGGCGTGGTACTTGCTGCCCAATGAGAGACCTGGAGCGGGGCTGAGAAGGGTGTGGTGTTCTCTGTCCAATGAGAGACGTGGGACAGGAAGGGCGAGGTGCTTGCTGCCCAATGAGAGGCATGGAGTGGGAAGGGCGTGGTACTCGCTGCCCAATGAGAGGCATGGGGCGGGGCTGAGGGCGAGGTGCTCGCTGCCCAATAAGAGACATGGGGTAGGAAGGGCGTGGTGCTCGCTGTCCAATGAGAGACGTGGGGCGGGAAGGGCGAGGTGCTCGCTGCCCAATAAGAGACTAGGGGCGGGGCTAGGAAGGACATGGTGCTCGCTGCCCAATGAGAGACATGGGGCGGGAAGGGCGTGGTAATCACTGCCCAATAAGAGATGCGGGGCAGGAAGGGCGTGGTGCTCGCTGTCCAATGAGAGACCTGGAGCGGGGCTGAGAAGGGTGTGGTGTTCTCTGTCCAATGAGAGACGTGGGACGGGAAGGGCGAGGTGCTTGCTGCCCAATGAGAGACATGGGGCGGGGCTGGGGAGGGCGAGGTGCTCGCTGCCCAATAAGAGACACGGGGTGGGAAGGACGTGGTGTTCGCTGCCCAATGAGAGACACGGGGTGGGAAGGGCGTGGTTTTGGCTGCCCAATGAGAGACTAGGGGCGGGTCTAGGAAGGACATGGTGTTCGCTGCCCAATGAGAGGCATGGGCTGGGAAGGGCGTGGTACTTGCTGTCCAATGAGAGACATGGGGCGGGAAGGGCGTGGTAATCACTGCCCAATAAGAGATGCGGGGCAGGAAGGGCGTGGTGCTCGCTGTCCAATGAGAGACATGGGGCGGGGCTGGGGAGGGCAAAGTGCTCGCTGCCCAATGAGAGACACGGGGTGGGAAGGGCGTGGTTTTGGCTGCCCAATGAGAGACTAGGGGCGGGTCTAGAAAGGACATGGTGCTCGCTGCCCAATGAGAGGCATGGGCTGGGAAGGGCGTGGTACTTGCTGTCCAATAAGAGACATGGGGCGGGGCTGGGGAGGGCGAGGTGCTCGCTGCCCAATGAGAGACACGGGGTGGGAAGGACGTAGTTTTGGCTGCCCAATGAGAGACTAGGGGCGGGTCTAGAAAGGACATGGTGCTCGCTGCCCAATGAGAGGCATGGGCTGGGAAGGGCGTGGTACTTGCTGTCCAATGAGAGACATGGGGCGGGAAGGGCGTGGTCTTGTTAACCAATGAGAGACGTGGGCGGGGCTGGGGAGTTCTTGGTGCTCCTGCCCGGTGGCAGCCGTGGCCTCCGCCTGCTTCCCCAGCCCAGGAGGGTCCTTCTGAGCCTTGGGCGTTGCAGACCGTTTCCAAGCTAGCGCTTCTCGGAGGACCAGGCCCAATGCCGGGAGTTTCTTTCTGCCCGGCTCTCCCTCCGCGGGCCAGGCTGGGCGGTGAAGCCGCGGCCTCTCTGTGCACGCAGCCCTTGGTGCAGCCACGCTGGGTGTCTGCAAGAGCAGAGAGGGGCCTGGAGTGGGAGGGACGGAGGGGCTGGGTGCTGGGAGCCGGGCCGGGTGCAGGCGTCTTGGGGAGACAGGCAGGGTGCGGGGCTGTGGGGAGAGAGGCCAGGAGCAGGGGTGCAGGGAGCCGAGCCGGGTGCAGGGGTGCATCTGGTGTCCCTGGTAGGCGCCGTCACACGTCCGTCTCCGATTGTTCTCTCTCCGCTCAGCCTTGGGTCCTGTGTCCCTCTCTGTCCATCTCTCCCAAGGCCAGTGCGGGCCACGTGGGCCAAGCGGGTTTGTCTGAGCCGGTGTCCTGCAGGGCCAGCCCTAGGTGGAGGCGCAGCAGCGCCCTCTGCTGGGGCCTGGAGCAGTGGCTGGGGGTTATTAGCAGGGAAGATCTGGAGAGAGAACCGCAGAGGTGCCGGGTGGGGTCAGGGGGGTGCTTTGAGGACAGACCCCTGCATGGGGATCCGCACCAGGAGGGCCCTAAGGAGGACGAGCTTCTCTAGAGCACGCGGCATGTTCTGTACAAAGCATGGCCCGTGGAGGCTGGTTTCTCAGGCCCAGGGTCCGGGCTGGAGCAATAGCTCAGCAGGGAGGGTGTCTGCCTTGCACGCGGCCTGCCCGGGTTCAATCCCCAGCATCCCATAGGGTCCCCTGAGCACACCAGGAGTGATTTCTGAGTCAGAGCCAGGAGCAACCCCTGAGCACCACCGGGTGTGAACCGCAAAAAAAACCAAGACAGGCTGGTGCAATAGTACAGCGGGGAGGGCCCTTGCCTTGCACATGGTTGGCCCAAGGCATCCCACAGGATCCCCCGAGCACCGCCAGGAGTGATTCCTGAGTGCAGAGCCAGGAGGAACCCCTGAGCATCTCTGGGTGCGACCCCCAAAAGCCAAAAAGTGAGAGGGGACATAGGGGAGGGAACGGCTTCTCTCTCTGCTTGCCCAGGTTCTGGCATCTCCAGTGGGGTTTTGTTCGTCTCACTTGAGCGTGGCGTAAAGGCTGTGGCTTGGAGGGTCCATGCACTGGCCATGGTGCATGTCCCCCGCATCTTTCTGCTCTGCTGCACGCTAGGCGGGGATTAGCCAATGGGAGAGCGGAGTCACCACTGGGGGCGGGAGCTCAGCTAAGAGCCTGCAAGCGAGACTGACCAATGGGAGAGCAGAGTCACCGTTGGGGGCGGGGACTCAGCTAGGAAACGAGAGGCGAGAACTGACCAATAGGAGAGCAGAGTCACAGCTGGGGGAGGGTGCTCACAGCTGGGGGCGGGGACTATCCAGAGCCCAGAGGCAGACTAACCAATGGGAGAGTGGAGTCACCACTGGGGGCGGGAGCTCAGCTAAGAGGCTGGAAGCGAGACTGACCAATGGGAGAGCAGAGTCACCGCTGGGGGAGGGTGCTCACAGCTGGGGGCGGGGACTATCCAGAGCCCAGAGGCAGACTAACCAATGGGAGAGCAGAGTCACCACTGGGGGCGGGAGCTCAGCTAAGAGGCTGGAAGCGAGACTGACCAATGGGAGAGCAGAGTCACTGTTGGGGGCGGGAACTCAGCTAGGAAACTAGAGGCGAGAACTGACCAATAGGAGAGCAGAGTCACAGCTGGGGGCAGGTGCTCACAGCTGGGGGCGGGGACTATCCAGAGCCCAGAGGCAGACTAACCAATGGGAGAGCGGAATCACCACTGGGGGCGGGGACTCAGAGCTGGGGGCAGGGATTAACCAATGGGAGAGCAGAGTCACCGTTGGGGGCGGGAACTCAGCTAGGAAACTAGAGGCGAGAACTGACCAATAGGAGAGCAGAGTCACAGCTGGGGGCGGGGACTATCCAGAGCCCAGAGGCAGACTAACCAACGGGAGAGCGGAATCACCACTGGGGGCGGGGACTCAGAGCTGGGGGCAGGGATTAACCAATGGGAGAGCGGTGTCCCCACTGGGGGCGGGGCCTGCACAAGCACGTGATCACAGCGAGTTGTCAGGTGTTGCAGGTGCCTTGTGGCTGCTTCCAGGCGCATCTTGGCTCAGTGCAGGTGTGACGGAGGCGGGCGTGGGCACCCGGGCGGGGCAGGTGCGCTGCAAGTGTGTCAGCAGCCCCTCGTGGTGCAATGAAGTGCATTGTGGGTGTTAAAAGCACATTCCGGTGCGGTGTGGGTGTCGTTAGTGGGGACGCGGATTTGCCTGCGCCGGTGGAAATTCTCGAGAACTGCATGAAAGTTTTGCGTCCAGAACTCGAAGATTGATCGTTTATTGGGCAGAAAAGACCTACCGGTCCCGCTCCTTTCCCTGTGACTGATGACCAGATCTTGTCCCTCTACCACGCGTGGTGCCCCGTTTTCTGCAGCAGCTGCCCACATGGGCAAGATCCCCCCGCCCCGTGCCCTCACCGGAGCCCCCAGCTGTGCCCCAGCAGTTCCTGCTGTCTGGTCTCCCGTTTCCTGGTGCTGATACTGTAGGTGTGTTGCAGGTGGGGTGTGGACGTGGTGTCGGTGTTGTAGGTGTGTTGTAAGCATTGACGGTGTGTTGTCGTGTGGTGTAGGTGTGACAGGTGTGGAATGAGTGATGTTAAGCTTTGTAGGGCGTGTTGTAGTTGTGGTGTAGGTGTGTTTAGGTGTTGTGGGTGTGTTGTAGATGTGGTGTCACGTGTGTCTTAGGCGTTGTAGTTGTGGCTAGGTGTGGTGTGGGTGCTGTAAGTAGGACATCCCCTCTGGTGTAGGAGTTGCGGGTGCGATTTAGGTGTGGTAGGTGTGTAAAGGTGGTCTCGTGTGGTGTAGGTGTCGTAAGTGTGGGGTGAAGGCGTGGGTGCTCATGAAGCCAGTTGTGTTGCGTTTCAGGGGATCCAAATTTTGTGGCTGCGGCCTCTGAAATGGGAAGTGCAGGAGGAAATTCTTTTCCTGGGGCGGGGAAGGGGCGGCCAGCAGGGAGCTGGGCGCAGTCCCTGAGGCCAGTCCTGTGGCCTTGGCATCGCCCCTAACCTGCCCACTGTGTGTTTCCCTGCAGTGCTGAGCATCCGGGGTGCCCAGGAGGAGGAGCCCACAGACCCGCAGCTCATGCGCCTCGACAACATGCTGCTGGCCGAGGGGGTGGCTGGCCCCGAGAAGGGCGGAGGGTCCGCTGCGGCGGCCGCGGCAGCAGCGGCGTCCGGTGGAGCCGGCTCGGACAACTCGGTGGAGCACTCGGACTACCGAGCCAAGCTGTCGCAGATCCGCCAGATCTACCACACGGAGCTGGAGAAGTATGAGCAGGTGAGCGTCCCCGGCTCCCTGCAGACCTCCGCTGCCCTGCCCAGGTCACCGGGAAGAAGGGACGCGGTAGGGATCTGCAGGGGGAGGAAGCGCCTGCGGGACAGGCCTGGTGCAAAGCAGGCCCAGGACATGTGTCGCCCTCTGTGAGAGCTGGGGCGGGCCGGAGAGGTGGTGCAGCGGTTAGCGCTTGCCTTGCACACAGCTGAGCTGGGTTCGAACCCTGGCACACACACACACACACACACACACACACACACACACACACACACACCTCAGGGTCCTCCGATCCCGCCCGGTGGAGCCAAAATGGGGATTGGATTGCTGGAGGGGGAGCCCTCAGGTCCCTTGGGTGCCTGACCCGCCCCGCCGCCCCCCCCCCCCAGGCCTGCAACGAGTTCACCACCCACGTGATGAACCTGCTCCGCGAGCAGAGCCGGACCCGGCCCATCTCCCCGAAGGAGATCGAGCGGATGGTGAGCATCATCCACCGCAAGTTCAGCTCCATCCAGATGCAGCTCAAGCAGAGCACGTGCGAGGCCGTCATGATCCTGCGCTCCCGGTTCCTGGACGCGCGGTGAGTCCCCGCCCCCAGCGGCCGCACCGCGCTCCCATTGGCCAGTCCCCTCGCGGCGCTGCCCCGCCCCTAGGGCTGTCATCGCTCCTCATTGGTTACCCTCGCCTCCAGCCTGTGGTAGGCCCCGCCCTCGGCTGTGAGTCCCCGCCCCCAGGGGTGACGCCACTCTCCCATTGGTTAGTCCCCTCATGGATAGTCCCCGCCCCCAGGGGTGATGCTGCTCTCCCATTGGTTAATCCCCACCTCCAGCCTCAGGGATAGTCCCCGCCCCCAACTATGAGTCCCCGCCCCCAGCAGCCGCACCGCGCTCCCATTGGCCAGTCCCCTCGCGGCGCTGCCCCGCCCCTAGGGCTGTCATGGCTCTTCATTGGTTACCCTCGCCTCCAGCCTGTGGTAGGCCCCGCCCTCGGCTGTGAGTCCCCGCCCCCAGGGGGACGCCACTCTCCCATTGGTTAGTCCCCTCATGGATAGTCCCCGCCCCCAGGGGTGATGCTGCTCTCCCATTGGTTAATCCCCACCTCCAGCCTCAGGGATAGTCCCCGCCCCCAACTATGAGTCCCCGCCCCCAGGGGTGACGCCACTCTCCCATTGGTTAATCTCCTCATGGATAGTCCCCGCCCCCAGGGGTGATGCTGCTCTCCCATTGGTTAATCCCCTCCTCCAGCCTCAGGGATAGTCCCCGCCCCCAACTATGAGTCCCCGCCCCCCGGGGGTGACTCTGCTCTCCCATTGGTTAATTTCTGCCTCCAGCCTCATGGATAGTCCCCGCCCCCAGTGGTGATGCTGCTCTCCCATTGGTTAATCCCTGTCTCCAGCCTTCTGGGTAGCCAGCTGAATCCCCGCCCCAATGACTTGTGGATAGTCCCCACCCCTGGTGGTGACTCCACTCGCCCATTGGTTAATCCCCTTAGCTTGAGTCCCTGCCCCCAGTGCTGACTCTGCTCTCCCATTGGTTAATCCCCACCTCCAGCCTCAGGGATAGTCCCCACCCCCAACTATGAGTCCCCGCCCCCAGGGGATGACTCTGCTCTCCCATTGGTTAATTTCTGCCTCCAGCCTCATGGATAGTCCCCGCCCCCAGTGCTGATTCTGCTCTCCCATTGGTTAATCCCGCCTCCAGCCTCAGATACTCCCCGCCCCCAACTATGAGTCCCCGCCCCCAGCAGAGACTCTGCTTTCCCATTGGTTAATCTCTGCCTCCAGCCTCATGGATAGTCCGCGCCCCCAGCTGTGAGTCCCTCCCCTTCCCCCGCCCACGGTGCAGACTCTACTCTCCCATAGGTTAATCCCCACCTCCAGCCTTGCGGGTAGTTCCCGCCCACAGCTATGAGTCCCCACCCCCAGTGGGGACTCTGCTCTCCTATTGGTTAATCCCCACCTCCAGCCTCAGGGATAGTCCCCACCCCCAACTATGAGTCCCCGCCCCCAGGGGATGACTCTGCTCTCCCATTGGTTAATTTCTGCCTCCAGCTTCATGGATAGTCCCGCCCCCAACTATGAGTCCCCGCCCCCAGCGCTGACTCTGCTCTCCCATTGGTTAATCCCCGGCTCCATTCTCATGGATAGTCCCCGCCCCCAGCTGTGAGGTTCCCCCCTCCCGCCACACAAACCACCCCACCTTGTGAGTAGTTCCTGCCCCCAACTATGAGTCCCCGCCCCCAGTGATGACTCCGCTCCCCCATTGGTTAATCCCTGTTTCCAGCTTCATGGATAGTCCCGCCCCCAATCCCATTGCTGGGGTCATCTCCTTGGGCCCTGGGTCCCTGTCCCCAGGAACCCCTCTTTGGCCCCCTTCTGCCCGGGAACCCCAGGGAAGTTGGAGGGGACACAAGGTTTCCAAGTCCCGTTTTCGAGGGGGCACTAGTGGGACCTCCTCCCGTAGCCCTTTCAGGGGCCGTGTCCTTCCCGCGATGCCCTCCCAGGGCCTGCTCGATGGGGGTGGACATGTTAACACACACCGGGTGGGGCGCGTCTGCTTGGGGCACCGTGTGTCCACCTCGCAGGAAGCCACGAAGCACCTCCAGCCCCTGGGGATGCATGATGAAATCACTGACCACTGGGCAGCGGACCCGGGCCCAGGTCCTCTCCCTCACCGGGAGACCGAGCGCCCTGGGATCCCTCCCACCAGAGCCGGTTCTCCCCTGGGTCCTCATACGCGATATCCGTGGCCTGAGGTGGGGTGAGGGCAGGGAGGGGGGCTGGGGCTGACCCTGGCGGTGTGTGTCTCTCTCCGGCTGGCCACTGCATAGCTGCGTGGTCTGTTTCTTACTGGAGGCCCGGGGCGTCCTCCTCGCGCGGGACTGGCCCACGGCACCTCAGCCCAAGAGATCTGACGTCGGGCGGGTGCTGGCTGTGCCCGGCATCCCACCTCGGGGCCCCCCGAGCCCCACCAGGAGTGACCCCCCAAGCTCCACGTTTGCAAAGGACAAAGCCTAATGAGGTGGTGGCCGGGGTCCAGGACCCGGCCCATCGTCCCCGGCCCGGCCCCTGGCCTCAGTGGTACCAGGAGGACTGACCACTGCCCACGCTCGCCCCGAACCCTGACCGGGCCTTGTTTCGGCTCTTGGCTCTGGGCTTGGCGGTTCCCTGCAGCCCCTTCCGAGTGCTCTGTGATTCCCGGGTCTGGGGGCGTCTGAGGGGTGAGGGAGAAAAAGGCGGGTGCAGAGCTGCGGGATGGGGGGGGTGTGAGGCGACCTCAGGGTCGCCCCCGCCCCCCCTCCACCGCTGCCTGCAGGATGGATGCCGGCTGGCCGGGTCTTCCCGGAGCCCAGGGTGCAGCCCGACCGCTGCCTCTGATCCCCATGGCAACCCTCGTTAGCATGCGGGAGTTGGTATTTATGTTGGCAGGAAAAAAATGGAGAGAGAGGGAGAAAGCCAGGCGCGATGGAGCTTCCAGGAAGGGTTCCGTAGAGGCTCTGCACACCCCCCAGAGATGTCGCATCCCCCCCGCCAGGCCTTCTGGCCGGGGTCCTGCGCCCCATTGGGGCCGCCCCCCTCCCCCCACCCCTGTGCTGCCTGCAACCTTCCCTGCAATTGTTCCTGGGGTCCTGGCAGGGCGACCAGGTTCCCTCCCTTCCCCTCCCCCACTCCCTCTCTCCTGCCACTGTGGGGTGGTGGCCGGCCCCCGGGGCTCAGTGCTCAGACCATTCACCGACACCACCATAGTGCTCAGCCTGTGTCCGTCCCCTCGGCTTCCGTGAAAGGACAGAGGCCTCCTTCCGTGCGTGCCAGCACGGGCCAAGACCTCCCGGAGGCCCTGCAGCCAACACTGGTGACAGGCGTTTGTCTGCACCACGTTTGCAAAGCAAACAGCGCTGCAGCAGGGTGGGGTGGGACGTGGCAGCTGGGACCCGCCTCTGGAAGCCCCCACCTCCCACCCACCCCCGTCGCCCTCCTGCTGGGCACCGAGGCTTAGCTGGTCCTGCCCAGCCCCTTCAGAAGCAACAGGGTAACACGGAACCAGCACCCGCCTCTCGTTGATTAAAAGCCAGATGCCAGGGGCCAGAGAGATGGTGCAGTGGGTAGGGCTGTTGCCTTACCCGGGGCCGAGCCTGCCAGGAGTGACCCCCACTAGCTAGTGCAGAGCCAGGAGTCAGCCCTGTGCACCGCCAGGTGTGACCCAAAAAGCAATAAAACAAAACAAAAAAATAAGAACCCTGGGGGCTGGAGCGATAGCACAGCGGGGAGGGCGTTGGCCTTGCATGCGGCTGACCTGGGTTCGATTCCCAGCATCCCATAGGGTCCCCCGAGCACCGCCAGGAGTGATTCCTGAGTGCAGAGCCAGGAGTCAGCCCTGAGCATCGCCGGGTGGGACCCAGAAAACAAACTAAAAATTTCAAACACCAGGTGCCAGGCTGGTCAAGCCGAGAAGCCGTGGGTCCGAGCCCCTGGCTCTGGGTGCGACTTTTACCCCCTATAGGATGTCACGCAGAGTGGGGGGGTCTCCCCACACCTGGCCACAGGCTGCCATGCCCGGCCCAGAGACGCAGCCTCAGACGGCACTGAGAGACCCCAGGAACCTCCAGGATCGGGTGCAGGGGGGGCCTGAGACTCCCCACCCCGAGCCCCGAGCGCGGCCCCACCCCGCCGCCTTCTCCAGCCTGGCCGCACCGCCTGCAGCTGGATGACCCAGAAATCGAGGCACGCGGGGTGGGGGCTGAGGGGGCTGGGGGGGGCCGAGCGGCTCGGGCCGCTTCCTCTGGACAGATGTGGCGGGTACCTGCGTCCAGATGGTGCGCATCCGGTGAAATCAGGCCCTTCATTGTGTTAATTAATCCAGGCGGGACCCTGAAAATAACAATATTTGCTGAGTTTCCCGTCTCGCGGCCGGCCGGGGGCCCGCGCTTGGCTGAGTGGGGCCGCGCGTGTGTTTCTCCGACGGGGAGGAGGGGCGCTGGGCGGCAGCGGGGAAGGGCGGAACTGCCCCCAGTTCGAGCTCTTTTGGGGGAGCTGAGTGACGTCCCCGCACCTGCCCTGGGCACCCCCCACGGCCCCTCCCAGGCTCCCCCCAACCCGGGCTCTGAGGAGGCTCTGAAGCTGTTTCCCTCCCAATTAGCTCAATTAGCACTTCCTTTCACAGGCAGAGACGCGGCCCTGGGGCTGGGCCGGCTCCCCAAACAGTGCTCCGCCCTGCCCATTAGCCCGTCCTGCCTTCTCTCCTCCCCAGATGTTCCAGCTGCTGGGGTGGGGTGGGGGCATCATTCAAGTTCCAGCTGCTGGTCTCCTGGCCTTGGGGGTTTCGTGGAGGCAATGTCCCCTGTAGCATGTCCACAAGGACCCTGGACACGGCCGCCCGGGCCTCTCTGCTCCTAGCACCCCACTGGCCTGTAAGGAACAGCTTGACCAACGGTCTGGGGGTTCAGTACCCAACTTGGGGGCAGGGGCAGCCCTGAGCACCGCCAGCAGCCCCCCAACATGAGAATGAGAATAATGTGGAGGGTTCGGTCCAGTGCTGGAACCTTCTAGAAACATCCCCTCCCCTGGAGTGATAGCACAGCAGGGAGGGCGTTTGCCTTGCACGCGGCCGACCTGGGTTCGATTCCCAGCATCCCATATGGTCCCTGAGCACCGCCAGGAGTGATTCCTGAGTGCAGAGCCAGGAGTCAGCCCTGAGCATCGCCGGGTGGGACCCAAAAGCAAAACCAACCAACCAACCAAAACCAACCTCAGAAGGCCGTGAACTGCATCCCAAGTGATGGGCCCCAGCTAGAGCCCACAGTTCCCTGGGAGACCCCCTTAAAAACACTCATGGGGAGGCTGGAGCAATCGCACAGAAGGGAGGGTGTTTGCCTTGCACGCGGCCACCCGGGTTCGATCCCTGACATCCCCTAGGGTCCCCCGAGCACCGCCAGGAGTGGTCTCTGAGCACAGAGCCAGGAGTCAGCCCTGAGCATCGCCGGGTGGGACCCAAAATAAGCCAAAAAAAAAAAAATAGAAACAGCCGCCCCCTGCTCCCAGTATGTGGCCACGCCCGCGTCTCCATAGCGAGTGACCCCTAATCTCCCTCCCAGGCCCCCCCCCCGAGGGTCAGAGCCTAGAAGGCACCGCCCTGGCCCCCTTCTGCGGGGACCCTCCTCCCGCCCCCTCCCCCAGCACCCTGACGCGCGGCTGAATGTCCTTCTCCTCTCTCTGAAGGCGGAAGAGGCGGAACTTTAACAAACAGGCGACCGAGATCCTGAACGAGTATTTCTACTCACACCTCAGCAACCCCTACCCCAGCGAGGAGGCCAAAGAGGAACTCGCCAAGAAGTGCGGCATCACCGTGTCCCAGGTGAGCACCGGCCTCCCTGTGTCCCCGGGAAGAGCCCGGCTTGGCCTGAGGTCAGGTCCGCCCAGATGGCACCGCCCGCCGCTCCCCGCGAGCCCCGTCCCCTGCCGGGCCCAGCTGACCCTCGCTGGGGGTCCCATCTCCTCCCAGCTGCGGCGACCCCCCTCCTGCCGTGCCCGAAGCCACTGGAGGGACAGTCCCTCCCGGTCACGGTCAGGACCGCGGCCTGGCTCCCCTATGGCCCGTGTCCCCCCGTGTCCTCCCCAGCTGTCCCCACGCCCCCGATCCTGGCCAGCGCGTCCCCACCGTGAGTCTGCAACCCGTGGACAGGGCAGACCCCAACCCCCGCGCCCACGGCCCCTTTGTGTGTCTTTATCCCCGTGCCTTGCAGGGACACACCGTGACCCTCGGGGCTCTGCCGCTCGGGGAGGGCTGGGATGCTTGGAGGGACGGGAGAGACAGCACCGGGGGCCCCGCCAGGAGCACTGCAGAGGGTGGTCTGACACCTCCACCGAGAGCAGAGTAGGAGCTGGACTCTCACCACAGTGCTCAGCCCTGAGGGAAGATGCTACGTGGTCCGTTTCAGGGCGTTGGAGTCCCCAGCTTTGCTCCTTCTCCCAGACAGGAAACCACCCCCCAACTGTGTTCTTCCCATCACCCTCCCCCACCCATCAGCCCCTCAGCCCCTCGCCCTCTCTCCCCTGGAACCTTCCGGAAGCAGGAGTGGGTGACGCACCAGCCAACGAGGTGGCGTGAGCAGCTGTGCCTCCGCGCAGTGCTTGGACATGGCCTCCGGCCGCCCCATGGGGCTCAGGGTGTTTGTATAGAAACACCGCGGCCCCCAGATTCAGCCCTCCCCCCCCCGTAGACCCCTCAGAAGGCTGGGGGGGCGGCCATGAGCCCGAAGGTCATCCGTGGGGCCAGGAAGGACGCTGGCTTACTGCAGGGCCTGCTTCCCACGCGGAGTGACTGACCCACACTTCCTGGCCACCCTGGCACGGCTCAGCCCACCTGGCCCCCAGGGTGGGTGCTGCTGGGCCCTTGGGGTGCCTGAGGCCCTCAGGGCTGCTCCCCGCGGGGCTCGCGGGCCCCCAAGGCTGCACCTGGGTCTGCGACTTAACTTGGGGTCACCATACGCTGACTCTGGCACCGTCTCCCGGCCTTGTGCTCCCGGGAGTCCTCTGGGTGCCAGCAGGCTCAGTGCCGACACACTGGAGCACATGGGATAGGCCCGTGGACTCAGGGCCAGCCCAGCCAAGACCCCAGCCTTGGGCCCTGAGTTCTTTTTATTTTCTTTTTGGGTCTCACCCAGCGACGCACAGGGGTTCCTCCTGGCTCTGCACTCAGGAATCACTCCTGGCGGTGCTCCGGGGACCCTGTGGGATGCTGGGAATCGAACCCGGGTCGGCCGTGTGCAAGGCCAATGCCTTCCCTGCCGTGCTATCACCCCGGCCCTGGGTCCCAAGTTCTGCCTTGCATAGAGCCAACCTGGGTTCCAGGCCTCCCCGGGCCCTGCCAAGAGCGAGTGACCCCTGAACAGAGCCAGGAGTTGGCCCTGAGCATCGCGGGGGTGGCCCAGAAGCCAAAAAAAAAAAAAATCAGTAGAAGAATCTAGTTCGGGTCAGACTCAGCTCTGGGCCGGGGTCCGGGTCCCATCCAGGTTCCGTCCTGCTGCAGCTCTATCTGCGGGGTCTGGTTGTGGTGTTACGAGTGGGGGGCCGGAGACAGGGTACCTTTGGCCTGTCCCGGGGGTCCTTGGCGCCATGTGTGGTCCCTGGAGCGTGTGTCAGGCAGGAAGAGCCTTCCAGTACCTCCCGACCCGAGCACCCCAAAACCAAAAGCCCCCCCATCCCGCCAAACTGGAATCCCACCCTGCTGTGGGCTCCCGGGTGACCCAGCCGCGGGACACTAACTTCCTTCTCTCCCCTCCTGCCCCGGCCCAGGTATCAAACTGGTTTGGAAACAAGCGAATCCGGTACAAAAAGAACATCGGCAAATTCCAGGAGGAAGCGAACATCTACGCCGCCAAGACGGCTGTCACGGCCACCAACGTGTCGGCCCACGGCAGCCAGGCCAACTCGCCCTCCACGCCCAACTCGGCCGGTCAGTCTGCCGCCCCCGCCCCCTGAGAGGTGTCGGGCCGCGCGTGGGAGTCGGGGGAGGCCTTGCTCCCCCCCCAATTCAGGGGACGCGTCTCGCACCGCCTGGAAAACAGGCCGGTCCGGGGTCTTGTCCTCTGCCGAGACGTGGCAAGGCCCCGAGTCGGGCCTTTGGGTGCACGGAGACAGCCGTGACCTCCGCCCACTGCCGTGGGGTCATCTCCGGGCGCCGAGACCTCCCGTCCACTATGCCCATCACTTCAGCCCGTCAGAAGTCATCCCCCGGGCTTGCAAGCGTCCCTCTGGAATGTCACCACCTCCACTGCCAGGGACACTGTTTGCACGGTTCCTCGTCCTCACTGGGGGCCCCACATGGGGCTGAGAAGGGGCCACGTGCCTCACTGGCGTGAGACCCTGAGTTGGGTCCCTGGAACAACGGGAAATGCTGGCCACAGCCCAGGCCCTGCGATCTTTATAAGATGCAGTGTGCATATGTACGTGTGTGTGCATGTGTGTATACATGTGTGTACACGTGTGTGCGCACGTGCGTGCTGTGTGTATTTGTGTGTGCACGTGCTGTGTGCCTGTGTGTATACGTGTGTGCGCTTGTGTGTCTATAACGTGGGTATACACATGTGTGTATGATGCGTGTATAAGTGTGCACATGCATGTACACTGCGTGCGTGCATATGTGTGTGTACACGCGTGTGTGTTCAGAGCCTCTGTCTTCATACTTGGTGCCTTTAGAAGCACAGGGTTTTCTGGGTTTTTGAGGGAAAGTCTGAAAGTCCCTCGTTATGTCAGTGTGGTCCCAGCTGGCAGGGACACCCCATGTCACGCATGTTGGTTTGGACCAACGATGTGACTCACTGAGCACATCAACTCGGCCATCAGCAGCACCTGGAAGCACTCGAGGTCACAGCAGGGCGACACGTCTCGTTCCGGACATTTCCAGGGGTCCCTGTTACCTTGGACTCCAACACGTGCTGGTGTGTCAGACCGACCACGTGGATTATTCCAGAACACACCCGGGTGCACGGGTTGGCCGTGGCCTCCTCCCAGTGGTCGGGCGCCGCCGTCCATGCTTTTGTCATGGGCAAAGGGGGCCTGGACTCACTCAGCCGCCAGCTCCATCCTGCGGATAGATTTAATCCACCTCCCCGGCATGCAGGGGGGAGATGCCCTAGACAGGATCCAGTACCAGCATGCAGAGGGTAGACGCAGCTGTTGCCCTCACCCAGTGGGTGAGAGGTGGAGACAGGATCCAGCTCCCCTGTGTGCAGAGGGCGAGAAAGTGTAGACCGACCCAGTTCCCACCCGCACGGTGGGCTGGTGTAGACAGACCCCTAGCCGCCTGCATGGCGAGGCAGGTGGGCTTGGGCAGCCGTGTCTGCCCTCACCGAGACCCCCTGCCTGGTGCCGGCCCCCCGGCCGCCTCCCGCTGACCCCTTGGTTGCCGACCCCTTGGGAAGTGACACCAGGACCGAGTGCGCCCTCTGGGGGGTGGCTGCCGCGTTCCAAGAAACATTCCTGCTGGCCCGGGTGTGCGGGGGCCACCCTGAGGGCGGGGCTTGAGCCCCCAGCCAGGCCGGAGTCGGAATCAATGGCCGTGCGCCTGTGTGCGTGAGGTTTCTGCAGAAAAGCCACAGGGGGGGTGCGTGTGTGCACGTGTGTGTGCATGTGTGCACATGTGTGTGCTTGTGTGTTTGTGCATGTGTTTCTGTATACGTATGTGTGTGCAGTGTCTGCGTGTGTGTGCATATGTGATATGTGCGCATGTGAGTGAATATACACGTGTGTGTTTGTGTGCACATGTTGTACGCTCGTGTGTGCAAGTGTTTTTGTGTGCATATATGTGTGCGTGTGTGTGCATGTAGGTATGCGTGTGTGTTTTATGTGTGTATATGTGTGCGTGTGTGTTTTTGTGTTCATATATGTGTGCCTGTGTGCATGTATGTGTGTGTTTTATGTGCATATATGTGTGCATGTGTGTTCTGTGCACATATGTGTGTGCGTGTGTTTGTGTGCATATATGTGTGCATGTGTGTTTTTGTATGTGCGTGTGTGCATATGCATGTGCACGTGTATTTTGTGCACATATATGTGTGTTTGTGTGCGTATGTGTGCATGTGTTTTGTGTGCATGTGTGTGTGTGCGTGTGTGTGTTTTTATGTGCGTATGTGTGTGCACGTGTGTTTTGTGCACATATATGTGTGTGTGTTTGTGTGCGTATGTGTGCATGTGTTTTGTGTGCATGTGTGTATGTGTGTTTTTGTGTGTGCGTGTGTGTGAATGTGCGTGTGTATGCATGCATTTGTGTGTGAATGTGCATGTGTGTACATGCACGTGTGTGTGCACTCGTGTGTGTGTGTTCACAAAAATCACGTGGCACTTTAAGGCAGGAGCGTTTCCAAGGGGAAGTGCCAATGTGGTCTGTCTACCCCCCTTCCACCCAACCCCAGGCCCGTGGCTGGGTCCAGTGACAAGTGGCCTCACGTGTCACCAGCGTTCGCTGGGCCCCGAGGCAGCGGGTTCCCAGCGAGTGACCGTGCCGTGACAGTGCCCTGTTCATGGGCGAGGCTGGGGCTTCCTTCCGTTGGGGCTTGTCCGCCTGGCACCGTGCCCTCATGCCAGACCCTCATGTCCCTCCTGTGGCGTCTCCACGGGGGGCTCTCGTGGGGCAGGTCCTGGCAGGTCAGACCCCCCAGGACTCCAGGTACCCTCCTGGCTGGCAGGAACCAGCCCCTGCTAGCCCCGCCCGTCTGCCTTCCCGACACCGGAAGTTCCTGATGGTTTCACGCCAGCGAGGACAAGGTGGACCTCTCACAGGGCAGCGCCCCCGGACTTTTGGGGACCCCTGGAAGGATTTGGGGGTCACCGTCTGCGGGCACTGAATCTCCGCCTCCCACCCCATGAGGCGCTTCCTGCAGATGGCAAGGGGTGCTCCGGGCTCAGGCAGGGGAGCTGGGGCCGAGGGTGACCGGGACCCGCCTTGGGGTCCCTCGGGCCGTTGTTCCTCCCCGCGGCCCACAAATAGAGTCGGGCCTGCCCGCGTCAGGGTGACCTTAGGAGCGCGCGTCCATGCCGCGAGTGTGTCCGAGCAAACGCCTTCGGGCCCTGGGTCCCCTCGCTGGCCCCCTCGGCTTAGCTGAACACAGACCGGAGTGCCAGGGGCCACTGGCTGCCTCCCCAAGCCACGTTTAGTGCCCTCTGAGCTGGCCAGGGCTTCTCGTCTGGTTGGGGGTGCTCTTAAACAGTGCTCGGGGGGAGTTCCCAGGTAATGCTCAGCCAACACGACTGTTGGCTGGCCACACGGACCCTGCCGGGGCTGGGGGCTGCCCTCGGTCGTTCTCGGGCATTTGGGGATGGTGGGGGGATCCCAGACTGATCTTGGCAGTGCTTGGGACTTGGCAGGTGGTACCTGGATCAGTCTGAGGTCCGATGGCGTAACTGCTGCCTTGTCCCCTGGGCCTGGCCACTGTCCTTTCCCGTGCTGGCCCCTGTCCACCTCCGGAACCAGGAAGGATCCTTTCCTTCTGGACCTCCAACCAGGCCCCCGGCTGTGCCCCTGGCCTGGCCGCGCCTTCCCACAGCCTGGGGACTCCGACGGAGGCTGGAAACACCCAAGGGGCACTGGGCGGGCGGGCGCCCTCCCTTAGCGGTCATTGATATGCACCCACTCAGTTCCACACGCGTCACACACGCACGAGGCATATTTACGACACATCTGTGCACATCGGTTCAAAATAAATAAATAACAGCGTCCGTGTCTCCGGCGCCGTCTGCTCCCGGCCTGCAGGGCAGCTGGGACGGGGGGCCTCGGAGGGTTCCCCGGGCCGCCGCCGTGTGTTGGGAACAGCCGTGAGCGCCTTGGATCTCCAGCGGGACCTGGCGGGGGGGAGGAGGGGGAGAGGGGGAGGGACACGGGAGCACCGACTCGGGTGTGAGCACGGGCACTTTCTCTCCCAGGTGCCTGGGTCACGTCCTCGTCCTGCGGGTTTGGTCGAAAGAGCGAGGTGCTGGGGGCCGGAGTCATAGCACAGCGGGGAGGGCGTTGGCCTGGCACGTGGCCGACCCGGGTTCGATTCCCGGCATCCCATAGGGTCCCCCAAGCACCGCCAGGAGTGATTCCTGAGTGCATGAGCCAGGAGGAACCCCTGGGCATTGCCGGGTGGGACCCAAAAAGAAAAAAAATTAAATGAGGGGCTGGAGCGATAGTACAGCAGGTAGGGCATTTGCCTTGCACGCGGCCGACCCAGGTTCGATTCCCAGCATCCCATAGGGTCCCCTGAGCACTGCCAGGAGTGATTCCTGAGTGCATGAGCCAGGAGGAACCCCTGGGCATTGCCGGGTGGGACCCAAAAAGAAAAGAAAAACACATAAAGAAAGAACAAGGTGCCTTCCAAGGCAGGAAGCTCCCCCTTCCCCACCCCCACGTCCCCAGGTCACACTTCGGGCCTGGGTCTGCCTCAGCCCCACCTTCTGGTGTTCAAACACGGTGACAGGGGCTGGAGCGATAGCACAGCGCGTAGGGCGTCGGCCTGGCACGCGGCCGACCCGGGTTCCATCCCTGGCATCCCATAAGGTCCATCCCTGGCATCCCATAAGGTCCCCCGAGCACCGCCAGGAGTGATTCCTGAGTGCAGAGCCAGGCAGAACCCCTGAGCATCACCGGGTGTGACCCCAAAAAAGCAAAAACAAAAAAACCCGGAATGACAAGGTGGCACTATGGGGGGTCTCGGTGCCCCCCGAGGACAGGGTGTGAGCATCTAGCAATGTAGCCCGTCGTCAACGAACAGCTCTGGAGCCCGTGAACATCCCGGGACAGTGGGGCGGGCGGTAGCCTGTGTAGGACACGGGGGTCTCACTCGGCGCACCCGCCTTTTTTGGGGGTGGGGGTGCCCAAGAGTGGCGTGAGGCCAGGGCACAGGCGAGGGTGAGCGTGAGGCGGGGCGGGCGGCTCCCAGCTAGTGCAGGCTGACCTGGGCCCAAGTCCACTCTCCAGACTCACCCTTCCCTGCTGCTGTGCTTTCTGTCTGTGCCCTCAGCTGCACGATGCCCCCATCCCCCCCACCAGTGGGGCAGGGGCCCTGCAGGCCAGCCACCCCCGCAGGAGGGAGATGGCGCTAACCACTCTGCTTCCTTGCCCACTGCCCGCCCGTGTCCCGCGCATGCCCCATCCTTCCGCTGCCTCGTCCACCGCAGCAGGGAAAAGAGTTGGTCACTTGCACAAATCCAGGGTCCTCGAGGCCCTCCCCGCGACGACGCCGGCCTCTGGACTCTTGGGCCCCCGCATGCAGCCAAGAGGCCCCAGGCCCAGCCTACCAGGCTGCAGGCGCCAGAGACAGACCTCGGGGGGCCGAGACCCGTCTGGGGCCCCCCACGCGCCCGCCCAGGGCAGGGAGGGAGGGAAGCGGCTTCACTAACCCCGCGGGGCCCTGGCGCTACTAACGGGACCCGGGCGGGCTCCGTGCTGACGCTGGGGGGCCCCGGGGTCCGCTCTGCATGGCTGGCCTTCTCGTCTCGGCTGTCTGCGGGGGCGGGACCCCCCCTCTGTCCCTCTCTCGCTCTCGCTCTCTGACTCAGCGCCCCTCACTCTTTCCTTTCCAGGTTCTTCCAGCTCTTTTAACATGTCCAACTCTGGAGACTTGTTCATGAGCGTGCAGTCCCTCAATGGGGACTCGTACCAGGGGGCCCAGGTCGGAACCAACGTACAATCGCAGGTAGGGCCCGGCCGCCGAGCTGCCCGGGGGACCGCGCGGGCGAGGGCGAGTGCAGGGGCCCGCGAGCCAGGGCCAGCGAGAGAGAGGGAGAGAGAGAGCTGGGGAGACCCTCCCCCTGGCCGCCCCGCCGAGACCCGGACGCCCCCCCAGGGTGAAAGGCCGCGTTCACCTGGCGCAGACGGGGTAGGGGGTGAGGTGAGCAGGGCCCGGCCGCCTGCGTCTGGCTCCCGTCGGCACCCCCATCCTGCCTCCCGGCCCCCTGGTTCGCTCTCGAGGCCCCCTGGACCAGAGTGGCCGGGAGCACCAGGTGGCCGGGCCCTACCGGGGGTCCTGCGTCAGCGCTTCAGTGCCCAGCTGGGCGCCAGGACCTGCCCTCCCGGCTGGCTGGGGTCCTGTGAGTGGGGGGATGGGATCTGGACCCCCGTGGGGAACCAGCCTGCATCTCTGTCCTCACTGCCGTCCCGGCCTCCTCGGGGCACCGTCTCTGTCCCCCGAGGAGGTCGGGGCGGAATCCGCGGGCTGGGGTGGGCGCCAGGGGGTTGGTGGGGCGAACTTCGTCCTCATCCGGCCGGCCGGCCCTGCCCAGACGTGGCACGGGGCAGACCGATGCTGGCGGGGTCCGACCCGCGCCCGGCTGACGCCCTCTCTCCTCCCTCCCAGGTGGATACTCTTCGCCATGTTATCAGCCAGACAGGAGGCTACAGTGACGGACTCGCCGCCAGCCAGATGTACAGCCCGCAGGGCCTCAGTGTAAGCGCACCCCGCGGCCCCCCACCCACTCCCGGGGCAGCACGGAGGGGACACGTCACCCCCAGCCCTGACGGCGGCCAAGGTTCAGGGTGCACGCGCACATGTACACAGCAAGGCACGTCACAAGCACACGTGCACACACAAACACGTGCACACACAAACACGTGTACACACAATCACGTGTACACACAAGCGCATACACAGTGTGCTCATACACATGTACAGTGTACACGGTACTCAGTCACACAAAGACGTACACTAACATGTGTACATGCAAACACATGTACACACTAACACATGTAGACACTAACACATGTACACAGTGTGCTCCTAGACATAAGGACATGTGCACAGTATACTCAGACACATGTGTACCCACATACATGCATGCACCGTATGCTTATGGACATGTAAATGCATGTATACACACAAACATGTATGCACAGCTCTCATACAAAACACATGTACACACAAACACGTGTGCACACCACTCATACAAAACGCGTGTACATGCAAACACGTGTACGCAGCCTGCTCCTTGGCGCAGAGACATGTGTACACAGTACACCCAGACAAATGTGTACACACACACGCATACACAGTACACCTACAGACGCACAAACACATGTACACGCACAAACACGTGTGCACAGTACACTCCTAGGCACACACACACACAATACATTCAGACACATGCACGAACACACAAGCACACCCAGACACACATACTTATATGCACACTCACACATACACTCACACATACATTCACACCTATGCACACACACACACCAACTCGTACACATCTGGCGCATTTCCACATACACACTGACACATTCACACACAGCATCCATACACAGACTCACATATGCAGACACACGCGCGCACAGACACACAGACACCCTCACAGACACACACACACACACGTGCACACACACGCACACACACAGAGCCCCCTCTCCCCAGCCGTTGGGGGCCCAGTGGGTTCTCTGGCGCTGGCACGAGCGGCCGGGGTGCCGGGGGGCTCTGCCCGCCCACCCTTGTGCCGGGGTGTTCGCCAGCAGCTCCCGAGACGCATGAAAATTCATAACGACAAGCCGTGTCGCGCAGAGCCAAATCGATCGGACAGATGCGGGGGAGCCGGTGCGGGTTTGGGACAAGAAGCCGACTCGATTTCTCAGATCAGTCGTTGGCTCTCAGCTGCGCTGACAGCCTGCGGGGGCCCGGGCGGGGGAGGCTGTGGCTGGATGGGGGGCTGCGCCGGTGCCCCCGTGCCCTCGCCCCCGGGCTCCCGGACAGCTGGCAAGGCGCTGGGGGTGCGGCTGGATCTCGCTCGTCTCCGGCAGGGGAGCGGGGCCGGCTCAGGTTCCAGGGGCTGTTCTGCGGCATCGGGGGTCCAGGGGGCTGGGGCCTCCCCCCAGGACGTCGCAGGGAGCCGGCCGGCACGGAGGAGGCAGTTCTCGGGCTGCTTGTTCCCAGCTGTGGCGGCCTCCGGGGGAGGTTGGCCCCGTCCAGAAGCTCCGATCCAGACCCCCGACACACACAACTGCCCGAGCCCGTCCCCTCTCCCGGCAGCTCCCAAGGCCTGGCCGCCTCGGGCTGGAGCCCCTCCGAATTCCTGGGGCCCGCGGAGCCCCTCGAAGCCACCTGGCCCGCCAGGGCCACACCCCGGGAGGGCTCTAGAGAGGGACCCAGCTGTCCCGTGCGCGGCTGGGTCACGGGTTCGACCCACTGGAAGCGGCCGGGGAAGCACAGGTAGCAGCATCGGTCCACGCGTCTGGGGTTTCCTTGGAGACGGCCAAAGAGCTTCCCCCGTGAGGGCTTTGCCTCTGGGTCTGGGCGGAAGAGAGACAAGCGGACGGGGGGGGGGGGGGGGGGGGGGGGGGGGACAAAAAACGGGGGCTTTATGCGGTCTTTTGCCCCCTCGGGAGAGTCCGGCCACACTGGCCGCCCTGGGGCCCTGCCCTGTCCCGTTCGGATCCCTCTGACCCGCTGCCGCCGCCGCCGCCGCCGGGGTCCAGGCTTGACAATGGCCCGGGCCGGGCTCCCGGCTTCTCGGGAAGGTCTTCCCCCCCGTGAACTGTGTCTCCTTTCTTCCGGGGTCTTTAATATGCAGCGCGGACGGGCTTTCAGCTGTGCCACCTGCTAGGAGCCAGCCTGTCGCGAGGGAGGTATTTTTAGCTGGTGGCGGCGTGAGGGGAGAGAGAGAGAGAGAGAGAGAGAGAGAGAGAGAGAGAGAGATGCATGCATGTGTGTGCGTGTGTGTGTGCATGTGTATTCATGTGTATGCATGTGTACATGTGTGTATGTGTGTATGTGTGTGCATGTGTGCGTGAGTGTGCATGTGTACATGTGCATGTGTATGCATGTGTACATGTGTGTGCATATGTACATATGTGTGCGTGTGTATGCATGTGTACATGTGTGTATGTGTGTCCACGTGTATGCATGTGTACATGCGTGTGCAGTGTGTGAGCTGTGTGCATTTGTGTGCATGCATGTGTACATGTGTGTATGTGTGCATGTGTACATGCATGTGCATTGTGTGAATGTGTGTATGTGTGTACACGTGCATGTGTGTGCATGTGTACATGCATGTGCGTTGTGTGCATGTGTGTGCATTGTGTGCGTGTGTGCATGTGTGTGCATGTGTGTACATGTGCATGTGTATGCATGTGTGCATTGTGTGCGTGTGTGTGCATGTGCGTGTGTGTGCATGTGTACATGTGTACGTGTGTGCATGTGTGTGCATGTGTATATGTGTGTGCACATGTGTGTGCGTGCGTGTGCATATGTACATGTATGTGTATGCATGTGTGTGCATTGTGTGCATGTGTGTGCGTGTGCACATGTGTGTGCGTGCGTGTGCATATGTACATGTATGTGCATGTGTATGCATGTGTGCACGTGTGTGCGTGTGCAGGGCTCTGGCTGCCAAGGAAAGCGAGGAAGAGAGCGAGGAGGCAGGCAGTGTAAAGACAGAGGGAGAGAACCATAAGAAGGCGGCCAAGAAACAAACGCCAACAACGCCGCCCGAGGCCGCACCACTTTCGGGGCTTCCCTCCCCCACCCGCCACCCCCAACACTGTCTGGTTCCAGCTCCCGCCAAGCTCGGACCCCGGGCGTTGGGCCAGGACCTAGCTCGGCCGGCATGCGAGGTGCCGCGGGCCGGCCGCCTGCCCTCACCCGGGTGGGCAGCTCTCTGGACCCCACTTCAAACCTCAAGGGCTGCTGGATGCGGGGAGGTGGCGGCCACTCGCCACAAGGAACTGCATCCCTCCCTGCGCACCAGCGTCTCGTGTTAGGGGCATGGGGGAGGGAGGTGGGTCTGGACGAGGGATTTGGGGTGGGGGCAGTGCTTTAACTGGGGTCGGTCCCCACCACCACACGTTGGCTGCCCATGAGGGGAGGCCTCGGGGGTGGACAAACAGCCATGCCCCGAGGCGTCCCCGCCAGCTTCTGGAAGGTTCAGAGAAGGGGGAGGGGCGCCCCTATCTGTAACCCTCCCATCACAGCCTCTGGAAGCCCCGTGGCTACCGGGGTCTAGGCGGGCCCCTTCCCGGAAGCCTCCGGATGCCTGGGGCCTGTCCCCGAGAGTAGGAAGAATACGCGGCTGACCCGGGTTCGATCCCCAGCACCCCATAGGGTCCCCCGAGCACTGCCAGGAGTGATCCCTGAGCACAGAGCCAGGAGTCAGCCCTGAGCACTGATCCAGGGGTCACCTCCGAGCACAGAGCCAGGAGTCAGCGCGGAGCACCCGCCAGGTATGGCCAAAAATAAGTAAAACTGTCCCGTGTCTCTGGGCCACGTTTCCATGTTACCCACCGACGCTGGCGGCCGTGTGTCGCTGTCATGGCAGGGGAGGAGCAGCTAGTTTGAAAGTCACTGTCCAGGCTCGGAAGCCGGTCACTCGGGACGCTGGGACCCTCCCTCGCTCCCTCGGCCCCGGGCCACGCAGACAACGCGCTTGACCACGCCGGGCCCCCTTCCCACCACGGGTTCTTCTCGCACCCGGCGCATCTGTGCCGGTTCTGTGTGTGTGGGCGTGGACCAGTTTCAAGCCCGGGGAACGTAGCATTTTGTGGCCTACTCACTTGACTAAAAATATATGATGAATATTTTCCATATCATTAAACATTCTCCTCCTCCAACGCTGCCCGGATCACGACACCCGCAGCCGCTGCGAGGCAAGGCCGTAATTTATTTAATCAATATCCACCGCGCAGCATTTGAACTTGTTTTTCTTGTTGTGGGTTTTGTGGGGTTTTTTTTTTTTTTTGACTATTATTAACATCACAGTGGTAAACAGAGATTCTCTGCCTTGTGTCTGTTATTTCCCTGAACAAACAGCCTAGAATCGGGGCGTCGGAAGCAAAGGCGTCTAGAGCCAGGGAGGGGACTGGAGCCCCGGGATCGGTTCCTGGCGCCCCAGACTCCCCCCAGGGGACCCCTGGACACCCGGGAGCTTCCCCCAGGCACCACGAGATGCGACTCCAATGGCAAAGTCATGCCCGAGAGTATGGGCGAGCCTGAGGCACCCTTCGTGGGACAGTTGCCCGTTTCTCTCCTGACCTTCCTTCCTTCCTCCCTCCCTCCCTTCCTTTCATCCTTCCTTCCTTTCTTTATTCCCTCCCTCCCTCCCTTCCTTCCTTCCACCCACCCACCCATCCTTCCTTCCATCCATCCTTCCTTCCATCCATCCGTCCATCTGTCCTTCCTTCCATCTATCCATTCATCCATCCATCCATCTACCCTTCCTTCCTTCCTTCCATCCATCCATCCTTCCATCTTTCCATCTTTCCATCCATCCATCCATCCATCTACCCTTCTTTCCTTCCCTCCTTCCCCCTTCCTTCCTTCCATCCATCCTACCATCTTTTCATCTTTCCATCCATCCATCCATCCATCCATCCACCCTTCCTTCCTTCCTTCCTTCCTTCCTTCCTTCCTTTCTTCTCTTCCTTCCCCTTTTCTTCCTTCCTCCTTCCTTTCTTCCTTCGTTC